GTCACGCCGAAGACTCGGGTTCGATTCCCCACATGGGTACAATGTGTGAAGCCCAGTCCTGGTGTCCTCCGCCGTGATATTGCTGGAATTTTGCTAATTGCGGTGTAAAACCCAACTCACTCACTCATTGTATACATAAAAATTGTTTACTGTATATTCTTAGTCTGTTATCATCTTTTTAAACTTCATATGAGTGGCACTACACTATTTATATGCATACACTTTTGTCTTATGCAGCAGTAAAATGTAAATAGAATGTATTCCTGTTAAACGTCTGCTTCTATCAAGTCTCAGCTTATTTTTGATAATTCGAGTGCGCGATGGCCTAGTCAGGATACACGGGGAATCAGTTGATCACCTCCTTGGGCATTCCAGTCAAGAACTGGCTCTCTGCCACCTGTGCTTGCCTTCGGGTAGTCGGACTCAGTATTGGCAAGTTTGAAAGGTAAACATTATGCGTTTTGTTTATCAGCCTTTCCAATAGTTTTACGTGAATATTAATAGACAGAAACGTCACTCCAGCACCAAAACTAGCAACACAAGTCTTGAAAAGTTGAAAACTCCAAGCTTCCCCGACCTTTATTTGATGTCAAGTTATCCGACAAGAGATTCTATACATTATTGGAAACAATTCTCCCAACCTTTGCATTTTGTAAACAGTAAAAAAGTTACAGACAGTGTTAAAACTACAGACATTATTCTAAGTTGGAAGAAAGATTAGTGATGTTATACGACCGGTGGAAGTGCCAGAAGCGCCGGGTTCCAAATTTAAATGGGAGGTAACTATTCTGCAGTTTGACAGTCTCAAATCTTATCTTGGTTCTGTAATGCCATGTTTGAATAGTTCATGATTACCCCGATGGAACAAGGACAATGTCTCGTGCGGGCACGTATTACAACCCTGAAGGGCAGGCTACATGAGCCACCCTGCCTATTTTAGCAATATTCCAGCAATATCACGGCGAGGGACACCAGAAATGGGCTTCACACATTGTGCCCATGTAGGGAATCGAACCCGGGTCTTCGGCGTGACGAGCGAACGCGTTAACCACTAGGCCACCCCACCGCCCCTGAAATGAACGAACAGCTCTCAGAACACAAGTGAAGCCAAGTGAGTGTCAAACTGTTGGGGTATTTACTGCTAAAACCTGATTCTTAGAATTACAATACAGAAAGCATTCATTGTATACATGGGACGGTGGGGTAGCCTAGTGGTTAAAGCGTTCGCTCGTCACGCCGGGTACAATGTGTGAAGCCCATTTCTGGTGTCCTCCGCCGTGATATTGCTGGAATATTGCTAATAGCTGTGTAAAACCCAACTCACTCACTCATTGTATACATAAAAATTGTTTACTGTATATTCTTAGTCTGTTATCATCTTTTTAAACTTTATATGAGTGGCACTGCACTATTTATATGCATACACTTTTGTCTTATGCAGCAGTAAAATGTAAATAGAATGTATTTCTGTTAATCGTCTGCTTCTATCAAGTGAGTCTGGATCTTACGCGCATAAAAAAACCTCGTGCACCGGAAATGACTCTCCGTTGGTTTAACTCTGACATCACGTGATAATTTTGCAGAGCACCTGTTGAGTTCAGTTATATCACGAAAAATAGTCTTTTCAGTTAATATCAATATTTCCTGGCAACTATTTCAATATTCTTTCACTCATGTTGGAAGATGATATGGAACCTGCGATTTCAGCACTTTAACATGAACATTTAAGTCCTTTCTGCGAATACCATTTTCTCTCTCGAACATTGGCTTGATGTATCTAAGAAAATTGATATTGGCAATCATATTTCTCTGTATGCTTGTACGAACATGATTTGTAGAAAACTTAGGGCAAGGAATTCACTCTAGCGTTTACTAGTACATGTTTTCAACAACAGCAAGAAAATCTTTTTTTAATTGCATAGCATTGGTCATCAAGATTGGGACCGAGAGTGCCACAGTGTCCCTAAACTATAGTAGGTATCCATCTGAGATTGTGTCATTATTACTACCTGTATATTTTAGTCTTGAATATTCATATGCGGCAGTCAATGTTCTTGTACTCAATCACAAAAGAGTCCACTGATAGTCCGACAATACAGAAATGAGACACCATACGTAGGCACTGAAATGGATTCTTATTATTTCGCTTGTTGTCGCTAATGGCACGACAGTGATACACATGCTCGGCACGTGTGGCGAATATTTCACCGCCATTACCCAATATCAGTTTCACTGGGATCCTCGAACCTGCTGTAGGAATGTGCTTCACAGCAGCGACACATTACCTGTGATTGATGCTTGGGGCTGGACACAGACATTGTCGGTAGCAAACTGGTCGATGTGTAACAGGGCGACTCCACAGCGCCTGCAGTGACTGGAGTATTGTCCATAACGTTATCCGACTACAGGCAATGATATCTAACTTTTTGAAAAACATATCTGGCCTTATTTCAAGTCGAATCGCGTAGTAAGGAACAAATAGAGGAGACTGGTTCAGATAACATGAGTTACACCATACTTTCGATCTCGTTAACATTCCGTCCAAGAAATTCTTATTTACATAATCCAAAGTAAAATAAAACGAAGCCCAGGACAATGTTTAATTTCAGATCATAGACAATAGAGACTGGCCACATCATTCTGTGTGACGGCTGGATGTCTTAATGCATTCTCTGGGGTCTGGGATATTGCTGATTCTTTAAATTGCTATGGTTAATCTGTCAGGGCAGTTCAGATATTATTAATTACTGTAATCACCAGATGAAAACCACTCTACCGCAGCAACTGATATTTAAGAACATCATTCTTTTGTTATAATTGTCAGTAGACATTTTGAAATCCTGCTATGTACAATTATGGGTTGCAAAAACAGGGTTGATGTTGGTACACATTTCCATATGTGTGTCACAATACATTTAGAAAAAAAACACTGAGAAGTCGTCTAAGAAAGGGCATTTCCACGTTTCATTTTGGCTCACGTATTTTGTAACTGTTCCATGAAAATAGTTATTAGACTACACCTCGAATGACTTTCCCTACTTCTTTAGTGCAGTTGGTAGTGTGTCAACCCGGAGAGCGGAAGGTCGGCGATTTGGTCCAGTGTCATACCAAAAGGCGTTAAAAGGTGATATTTGTAGTAACCCTGTCTGGCTCTGGGTGAGTGAGTGAGTTTAGTTTAACGCTGCACTCAGCAATATTCCAGCTATATGGCGGCGGTCTGTAAATAATCAAGTCTGGGCCAGACAATCCAGTGATCAAGAGCATGACCATCGAATTGGGAACCGATGACATGTGTCAACCAAGCCAGCGAACCACCCGATCCCGTGAGTCGCCTCTTACGACATGCATGGGTTACTGAAGGTTCATTCTAACCTGGACCTTCACGGGTCTGGCTCTCGGGGTAACAAGGATTGTTCGACTCAGAGTCAGCATGCTGCATCCGGGTGCGGAATCGTGTTAAACTCACAGGGGCGTGTCACGCTTAGAAACAGCGTTAGAAAGACATATAGGTATATAGACCCTACCCTAGGCCTTTTATATAGTACTAGGGTAGGGTCTATATACCTATGTCTTTCTAACGCTGTTTCTAAGCGTGACACGCCCCTGTGGTTAAACTAAGGCATAACTAAGTGGGTTAGAACAACAAAACCGGCACGCATGCGCGTGGCTGTATGGGTGCACCAATCTTAAACTTGATGTTAGACTCCTTTCTACCTTATCTCTTGCAGTAGATGATTTGAACAGTACCTATCTGGAGAGACATTGAAATATTCATGCAGTAACCTTTCAACAGGAAATGGTGGTAGACACTTTCACAAGTCCCCGGAAGTTCTGGATAGTTGAAACTGAAGAAGAGGTGATGCCTATCATTTCCTGGTGTATAACTTACATTACTTAAAGGTCATCAACAGAAGCCTCCAGGAATTGTGGTGTTTAATATATATTTTACACCTGGGTCAACAATATTCCAGCAAGGCAAGGGGGACAATCCAGTGATCGATAAGAGGAGCAACGTCCATTTTCAGTCTGATACAACTGAGTGAACCCACACGTGCCCTTGTACAATACATCCTTAAGTCTGTGTTAATGTATGGGATGTAGGGTCACCTTCCGCTGAGATTGCTTTGTACAACGCACCTATATTTTATACCAGGTTCAACAATATTCCTGCCATGTAAGTATGGGAGGACCAGTGACCAATAAAAGGAGCAACATGTAAGAGAACATCACAAACTAGTGATCGATAACAAGAGCACCGTCCCATTCAGTCTGGCACAACTCAGTCACTAAGTACCAAGAAATATTTAGGGGTACTTTCATTCCAGACAACTAACCTTATTTCAAGAAAATAACAGTCCAATGGAATTACCCATTGGATTGTTCCAAAAAGAAACATTAGGACAATCACACTGGAGAGGTGGTTGATGTGGTGGTGGTGGAATTGGGTTTAACGACGTGCTTGAGAATATTTCGCTCATATAACGACGTGCATGCGTGTGTATGTGTATGTGTATGTGCGGCTGCTTGTACTAGCCCAGACTTAAGCTGGTTTTATAGTGCTAGCCCACTGAGATACCATTCCGCAGTGAAACATGAATACCCCACTCAGACACATTATACTGACTCCGAGCCGACCAGTCCTTGTTGTACCCATTAATGCCAAGCGCCAGGCAGGGACCAACAAGTACCATATTTTAACGTCTTTTGGTATGACGCGGTCGGGGATCGAACCCGCAACCTTCCACTCTCCGGGCGGACGCTCTAACTACTACACCACGGATGCGGTCCAATCACATTGGAGAGGTGGTTGATGTAATTACATGAGTTTGTTTATTGTTGACCTGCTCAACCTGGGACCAGTCAATTTCTTGATTCAGTGGACAAAACAGAGACTGCACCTTACAGAAGCCCAATGAATTCATGGATAATATAGCATAGTAAATACAAACCCTTGAAGTGCTGACGATGATTTGCAACATGAAATTTAAAAAAACATTTTATAGTATTCACAATATTTATTATTTTCTATCATACAATGAACAAAGAACTGCCTGAATCTCAACAAGTCAATAGCTTCTTTTGATGGCCGGCAGCCCAGTTTAAATGTCAGAGCACTCATCACAATCTACAACCCCACTCATAGCCCCTCCTGCAGGCCGAAGCCAGGCCCTGTGGGGGGTTCTGTCAGACTGGTCAGCCCTCCTTTAGGCTCTGAGGCAAACCGCCAATCCTGTCCACTCCTGTGACAGACAAGGGAGAGTCATGAACAACTGACATTTCTTCAAAGCTTCTGATAACACAAGAACATTATTTCATGAACCTGACCTTAACCAAGATAAATTCTTAACCAAGTCGCAATGAATGTGAAGCTGTTACAATAATCTCAATGAGGACCCAAAGATCGATATCGCCACTTGTCCGTTGGTGGGAGGTTAATGAAAATTGGGGAGGGCTTGTTCTTTCATTCCAGAAGCTATTTTATATAAATCTCTTGTCTGAAATGATCAGGGACATGTTGGAAATGATCAATGGTATCCAGCCCCCTAGTAATCTTGAGCCTTCATAGGTGTACTACCAACATAAGCTGTAGAAGGATCTGTACATATCCTAACATAGAGATGCAATTATTAGAATACATGGCTGGACAGATGAAATATTTTTACTTTCTAAAAGTGCCCCATCCTAGACAAGATGTGTACTTAGTTTATGAGACTGGCACCAGTACTTTTGGAGATAATGTTACAAAAAGATTTTGTCAAGAATTAATAACTCAATACCTGGACCTTGGACCTTTTATGACATGTGACAATTTAATTTTCAAAAGTAATCTCTAACATCATAAATGTTGTCAGAGGTCAACTTACTGGGGCCCGGGCTTCGGCATCTTCCCTGCCTTGACTTCATTCAGTATTCTTTCCATGTCCTCAACTGTCAGGTCCTCCTGAACACAATACAGTGAGTTCTAAAACTTGGGAGATTTCTCCAACATACAATACATGTCACTATCATTTGTATGCATGTGTCTGTGTCTATGCGTGTGTGGTTTAACACAACACTGAACAATCATGGCAATATTCTAGCTTTGTGATTGAGGAATGTAAATCAGGTATGGACCACACAATCCTGTGGTTGATATTGCCAGCAATGATCCACACCGCCAATGACACCTCATTAGATAGGTCATAGTCCATGAGTGGCCGATTCATTAAGTCTCCTCTTATTCCATTGTAAGTTGCTCGAAACCATTTGTATTCGAGAATATTGACTGGTCTATTTCCATTAACATTTTGTTAAATACATACACTGGACATTAACTTAACTGAAAAATTATGAAAACAATGCCAAATCATAATGCGGAAAAAGAAAACATGATTCAATTGTGGCAAATTGAGAAATATTATGAAAACATGCGTAATTGGAAATTTTCTATGCGTATTTTACCCGGATACGCAGGTTATTCTGGCCTCTGATGCACATATATTTATATTAAAGAACATGCTGCCACTAGCAGTGATATATATATTCAACTTGTCTGCCATTCACGTACATAGTAGTTGTCGTTGATCTGCACCATAGGAGCATTGATACAAGCTCCGAGACACTCCACTTCCATCAGCGAAAACATCCCATCTTTTGTTGTCTGACCAACATTGATACCTGCAGGTAAAGGGATAACACAAGTGTGAGTGAGTGAGTTTAGTTTCACACTGCTTTTAATAATATTCCAGCAATATCACAGTGGGAATAACACAAGTGTTGGAGCCTGTCTGTGACATCAGTATATATTCCACAGCTTATTTCAATAACGATCTTTACTCTAGGCTGCCTGTCAATGTCAATGTTGGAGTCATGGAGTAACCCTTACCTCCGCATGCTCCATGTTAAGATCACATACTGCACAGCCAGAAGTGAGGAACTTTTTACAAAAATTGGGTTTACAGATTCTGAACCATTTCTGGAGTACCCTGCCATGATATAGCTGGAACATTGCTAAACGCAGCATAAAATCATACTCACTCTGACAGGATTACTACAGTCAACACTATTTCAACTATATCTTATTAACATGTAACTACAAAAGTCTGGGACAGGGAAAAAATGAGTTGACAGCATGACCAAAATCCAAGCTGTTACAAAAACTAGGCCCCACAGAATAACCACCTCACCAACATGATCAAGTATCTTGTACTCAGAACATTCCGTAAGAGAATAGATCCAGTGTACTTATCAATCAGGAATGGAGTGAGGGATATTGTTTTATGCCGCTTTAAGCAGTATTCCAGCAATATCACGACAGGGGACACCAGAATTGGGCTTCACACATTGTACAAATGTGGGGAATTGAACCTGGGTCTTTGGTGTGACGAGCGAACACTTTAACCACTAGTCTACCCCACCGTCCCAATAGTGGTGTTTCAGTATAATGGGTAACTGGAGATGGGCATCCTTGTACAATGTTTTTTATGTGGAAGTTTTAAGTATTCTTTCATGACCATGATGACATATACATTTATTGTATTATATGAAGACATACAAGTGTGATGCAATATATCCCACAGACTGCATAATTATATCTAGCAATTTACCTAAATTTTTCTTGATACATTCTAAAATGACATCAGACCCGACTCCTCCAAGCTGACAAGGGGTTGTGGTGCAGATCTGCACAAAATACTTGCCAACAGGCTCCCTGGGAACATACAAAACATTTGTTATTACATGGACGAAAAATGGTCATTCATTCTTGGTTTCTCACAAGTATTTTAATACCTGATATTTCATATCATTATACATGCAGATAATTTGGATCAAGAGATAGACTATAATACATACACAGAACAATTCAAGCCATAAGAATGGGGCAAAAGAGATTTTCAAATTTCACTGTTAAATGTCAATATAACCTGTGCAGTAACCTGATTTGTCGGACATGGTGTAGAAACTTTGCAACCTCACCTGTTAAACATGGTGTAGAATGTTGCAACCTCGTATACTCTCATTCGTGGCATTTTCAATATTTCCGCCACCTTGTGCATAGCAGATATCGGGAGCCAGCCTGGAACACAACATTGTAGACACAAACAGCACTGACAGAACCTTTTCCCTGGAGTTCTTCTCTTCATGTTCAATCAGATATGCCAAGGTTTTATTTGTCTATTCTCAAGGGCCATATGTCTGTCCCATCATCACTAAAGCCATATCCCTTGTATCAACATTTTTGAACATGTGTCTCACTTATAAAGACTGGGTCTGATTAAAACTCAGATGAAATATTATTTGACAAAATGTATTGGTTGATCTTCAAGTCCCATTAATGTTCTGCACATTTGCTATGAGGCAAACCTTGAGAAAATTTACTACACATGATCATATGATGACATATTCCTCAGTTAAATTCAGAAAAGTGAAAGGTTTTCATTAAATTCTAATTGATCATTCTATTAGTATTACCATGAACATGTCTCTGATGCTATTAACTGTTAAGACATCAAAAAGCATGACTAGTCATGAACACATTACAACCAGGTCCATCAATGAAATCATCTAACAGATATTCTATTGTTGTAGAAATGGAGTAACAAGGCCTAAATTTCCATCCTTCAAATTACATGCCAGGCACTAGTCAAATAGTAGCTAATTGAGCAAAGGGGCATAACTCTGCCATTACCATGTTGCCTCTGGGCCAGGTCGAGCAGGGGAATCACTGCAGCCGATTCATGGCCGTCTGGGTAGTTGGAAATAATAACATTGCACCTCTGCAACAACAATATACAATTTGTCTAAGGTCAATACCTGTTTTTTCTAAACCCAGAAATAACACTGACTGGGTATGTCGATATAGTTCAAGGTTGTTATTGGTTATTGAGGTTCAATAAACAGACAAGCCTCTTGCAAAATTTGTAATTTATATGATAAAAAGACAACAGCAGATTGAAAACATCAATCTAGTCTCGGCACATAATGTTAGGATGTTCCAACACACAAATGGGCAATTCCAAGATACTCTGAACAGACAAAACAGGAACAGACATCTAGTAATGTCATTAATTTAAACATGTTAAATGACATAAAGACAAAAACAGATTCAAACTATTTTAGGTACATCAATGTTAGGATTCTCCAACACTCAGGGACATTTCCAAGAAACTGTGACATGATTAATGGCTCATCATCAATACTATTAGTTTATGATCCAACAATATTGTGCTGAATTTAAGCAAATACTTGAACTCAAACATCAGATTAGAAAACATCTATAACATGATATTCATACCAATGATAGATCGATGCTCTTGATGTTGATCACTGGATTACTTGGTCCAGACTCGATTATTCACAGACCGCTGCCATATAGCTGGAATATTGCTTAGTGCAGCGTCAAACAACCAACAAAAAGCATACCAATGATACTGCCAGTTCTGGGTTAACTTACATCTAAATTCTCCTGTGAGAATTCAAACTTGATGTCAGGATTGTTGGTGGGAGTATCCCTGTGCTGCAACAAATTGACAATCAGGATGAGACAAGGCCACTTATCAGTTGACCCTTGTAGTACTTAGACTACGGAAAATCATGATGGAATACTTGTTTGGAATGTTCCAAAGCTAACTGAGGATTATTTATTGTTGACAAAATAGGCATCGCATCGATGTACAGATTTTACTAAGACATAAAAACCTCATTTCCTTGACAATCATTACCATGGTTACAAAATGTAAACTCACCACAAACAATTGATCACTGCATGTTGGGGCAGCTCGGTGAAAGCTTCTGACCTGCTGGCTCTGAATGTAAGAAATCTCAACTCATTTGTAGTTCATGACAGTGGAATGTACAAGGAAAAGCATGATAAGTGATATATTAATGAATTACATTTTTGCTATAAAGTATAATGACAAAATTTGCCACCATTGCTTATTCTTCAACAGCATGATAGAACAGTGCCCCTTAATCATGCTAACTACAAACAACATGCACAATCAAAGGATTTGGTTTGAGTTCATTACTGAAACAGTGACTGGAAATATCTCTTACACGCAAACAGAACATACTGGTTTTTCCACATGTACAACTCATTTTCCAGCAACTTTACGTGTAATCAACTTGCATGCTTGATAAACATGGTGAAGTGCAACACTCCCATTTTTTCAACAAAACTGCAGTGTACCATGCGCAGGTAAATATCTAGTGATAACTTGTTTCTGCTTCACTGATTTGGCATGGCTCTGTAGTAACTTGTTTTGATTAGTTAGGTTAACAGTTTAAGATATGTTACTAAATGTCTATCAGTAGCACTATATGAGTTTTCCAAACACTAGGGTGAAGCACTCATTTCCAATCCTCTGGGTTTGCACAGTTGGAATCAGAGTAAGTGAGCCAGGCAAAGTGCTATAACCCTTACAGAGTGAATCATTCTTTATTGATACATGATCATGAACAAAAGTCCAGTACAACATGTTGGGTTGGCTGTGATGCACTGAATGTGAGCTGAATTGTCATACGCATACTTTGATGCAAGGTCAGAAACTGGTTAAAAATTGCCTGTATGTAGTTCTTCGACTAGTTTGAGACTACTGCACTGGGGAGTAATGCACTTTGTTGCCCTAACGTTTCCGAATCCAGAGGGAGCTTGAGGGAAGGTGGGACCCATGGCTGACAGATGCCTAACTCAAATAACTGCAAGCATGTCATAATAATCATGGTAAGATGCACTGGATAACATGAACATTTCACAAAAGCGGCTTCACTAGTGCAGTAAAATATTGACGACTCGTTTCGACCTAATCGATGTGAAAAACTGCTCAAATTATACTGAAAGGTTATTTCTTATACAATGAAATCACGTACAACAGACGAAACTACTCTTCTGCATGCTGCAGCAAACATGATGTCCTTCCAAAACACGACCTCCAAACTTTATGTAAATTCCGGACACTTCCGCTCCGGGCGTACCGAGGAAAAATAAGGACTCAATTTCACAAGATAAAAATGTTACGATTCTTTCATATTTGATCAACAAAAACATAAAGGATATGGTGATGGTTTAAAATAAATATGTTATCTAAACATATATGTTTCATACCCTTATAGCTGGTAAATGCTATTTAATGGATGCGTTCATATTCAGTGCGGTCCGTCCACAGCTATGGTCACACATAAACAATATGGCCGACTTCTGGCTTTGAGTACCGTAATATTTTATTTCATCTTGGATTCAGATCAAAAAGCATGTCTTAGAGACGCAACAATTGATTCACTTCATTGCATGGAAGTATCAGAAAATGGTGATAGTGGATTTAATTGTATGTTACATGAAAGCCAGGTTATATATTGACTTTCGTTAGAGCCTGGATCCGTCCTCCATTTGGCAGTTGCAGATCGTTTCTGCTGAGTGACCTTTCCATAATGGCAAACAAAGCAAGAAGCAGGTCCCAATTTTCTAGTCGGGACAGAAACAATTTTACAATTAATGTGAAAATCGAGGCCACAGATGAAGTGTTTCCGCTGAAGAATATTTACGGTGAAATGAAAATATCAGAATTGAAGGATTACATGGAATTTGCAACAGGGATACCAATAAACATGCAAAGGATAAGTTACCTTGATGAAGGTAAGAAAATATTCTATATTATATTGATATTACCAGCATATCTGCCATAATATTGGGGCCCCAATGTTGTTTGTGTAATTATTAAATTTGCCATTCAGAAATGTCAAAACTTTTACCACAGTAGTTTTAAATATGGTCTTATAAACATATTGTTTTTGAGTGATCAAATGATCAGGGACATAATGTGACTGTGAGACTTTATTTCTGTCCCACACAACAATCCTGTGCATCCAAACTCATCACAAGAAGGGGATACTACGACACCCCCTTCACAATTAATATGCTGTTACTTCTGACAATTCATAAGGGGTATAAGTATTCATAAGTAATATTCCGGTTTGGAATGTTGACTGTGTTGGGTTTTGTGGCTGTGGATACCCAAATGGTACCCTGGGCATTGACCAGCAAAAGTAAAACATTTTTGTTTTGAAATTACTAAGAAAATAAGGCAGTGTTATCATGGTTATATAGTGTTGATAAGTCATTTATTTAGTATTCTATGATATTCGTTAAGATCCGATTTTAGAATAAGTGCCTGCTTTGCTAACAATCTCTGACAGTTTTTATCTCTTGTCAGCTGCATATGATTCCTATTACAATTTGACTCAAGTGGACTCAAAGATATTTGTCACAGACTATTCTGTTTGTATTAATATCAAGTTGCATGTTGCAGGAGACTTGCTGGAACACATGGATATACGTTCAAATGACATTGTACCTGGAGCAACACTTCTGATGAGGGTGTGGTCTCAGTGGAGGGATTTGTTGGAAGCAGCCGCAGCAAATGATGATGAATGGGTAAGAACATGTGATGGGTGAGTGAGTTGGGTTTAAAGCTGCAGTAAACATTATTCTTGTTTTATCATGGCCTGTACGCTAAATCGTGATAATGTGAGAGGAAAGCCTGAAGTGATGCAAGTCTTAGACGTTTACCCTTTGGTGTAAACCACATTAGCATGCATGGTACATGTGTGCAGACTGACAAACGTAGAAACAAAATCAAGATATCACCAACCATTGATTTCTGGTGTTCCCAAATGGCACAACACTGCAAAACAAATTGTCCAAGAAAATAAGAACAGTTGTAAACTTGCTTAATAATATTGTGATTACCTATACCAAGTTTAAGACTGTAGTGTTACTGAAACATAAAACCTGTGATCTGAAGATCAATATCTTCAAATTTCAATGGTTTACAAAATGTGTGTACTGGTTTGCCATTGGACAGACCAGGTACACCGTACACAGTGCTGCAGCGATAACTTGTTAAAGATTACAGATTAGAAATGGCCTCCAGCAACCTATCCTTGTCATATGGTCAAAACGGTCAACTAATAGGATTTCTGACATGGTTGAAGCTTGTTATTGTATCCCAGTTGCTCAGACTGATGCTGATGATGTCAGTCACTGAATTGTCTGATTCAGACTCAGGCCGTTGTCATAGAGATGGAATATTTCTGACTGTGGAGTTAACAAGCTAAACACAACAAAATTATTTCTCAAATGGTTGAAATAGATATTATACAGCATACATGACATATTAACGGTTATTCAAGTGGCTACATCAGAGCTATACTTTCATCTCTACTGTATTTTTAACAGGTGTTTAGTCTAGGTGTGACACACCCAAGTGATTATAAGACTCCCAACAGTGAGTACATGACGAAGAGGTCTCGGAGAGCATGGTATGAAGAGAGAGCTTTTGTTGCCCTGTGCATAGCTGCACACAGAGGTCATGATAAGCTCTGTACCAAGTTGATCCAAGCAGGTGTGTATTGCCATACTCCCTGGAGATTCAGGAGTAAAATCATGCATGTTACCCATTCTTTAAAAATAATACTTATTTGGATTTGAAGTGAAGCATAAAAGTCAAGAGGTCTTTGGCAATAGCTCCATGTTAAAGCTGAAACATTTCAGGGTCTCCATCTATGAGAACTATAGAAGCAACTCTCAGATTGCAATTAATGCTTCCACAATCATGTTTTAAAACAGTTTTGTTCTCACTGATCTCAGTGTTGTCTGAACTAGAAGTCTTTATTCAGTTTCTTCATTTGTTTGTTTGTATTTCCAGGTGCCAATGTAAATGCCACATCTCCCCTTGGCCGAACAGCTCTCCATGTGGCAGCAGCTCAAGGTCATGGTCACATTGTTGACCTCCTCTTGGAGAAAGGTCAGCCTCTCCATTATGAAAATTATTTAAGCAATATGTCTACATGTTAGTTCCTTAGTTCCTCTGGATTTATAAACATTTTGGTTAAACATAGTACAAGAGACATATTTTAATGAATGGAACTGATATGATATTTTTAACATAAAATTTTATTTCTATTAGGAATTCTGGTAATTGATGAAAGAATTCATGAAAGTGGCGTTTAGTTATGAAATACTGATTTGATGAGTGCTATTGTAACAATTTTGTAGTCAAGCAGGATGATATGGAAACATCAGTCCATTTGAGAAAGTATTACAATAAAATCCCAACATTTTTGTTTTATAATAAATTTATGCAGTCAAAGAGAATCAGAAATATTAGGAACATGTTATAACATCCATTTGCAGCCAGTAAACATGCTAAATAAGCAAATCATTTTGGAAAAAACTCATGAGGTCAAAATAAATTACTGCTTAAATTTTTATGCAAATTTAGGGACTGTTCACAATTAATGGCTAGGGGGGTGATGATGATTTTAATGGGGGTGGGTGGGTGTGTGTGACCCATTTTGTTCTGGGGGAGCTAGGGGTCATCAATTTTGTACATAACAATATGTTTAAAAGTATGCTTAGAAATCATGGGAAGGGGGCATTGATTTTGTACATTACATTCGTGTGGGGTGTCACTTATTTTGTACATAATTTTTTTTTTTTTTGGGGCATTCACATTGTACATTTTTCCATAAAAATCATCATCACCCCCCCAAGCCATAAATTCTGAACGGTCCCTTAAAGGTCACATGCAACCAAAAAATCAAGCATAATTAAAACAAAATTATCACTTATTCATGACATATAATATACATTGCTGATTATGAAAAAACATATAAACAAAGTTATAAGCGTACATTTGCAAATCAAAGTGCAATATTTTGTACTTGGGTTTACTTCCCTAGAAACGAAGCAGCCGGGATACCGAACCCAGTCAGAGCGGGTGGATGTGCACTCAAGTGTAACGGCTGGTTCATTTGCAGATGCCCTCACAGCTCATTGTGTGTGTATATATAGAGATTTGTAAATACATGCTCATTTTCTGTGTATAACATTTTACAATCAACAGACATCATAACATGTCATGTGTACAAGTATCACACCTGCCTGTCTGTGTAATTACATAATGTGACAGAGACCGAACTCAGGCCATAAATCAATGCGTTTTTTTTATGGTGTATAGCCTGATAGGTGTTAAGTTCCAATTGCATGTGGTCAGTGATCGAAGTTATGTATTGAATATTGTCATTAGCAGACAGGCAGGCAGACACATAGGTGTCAATAAAACAGACAATGAGTCTGTGACAAGGACATATCTATATCACAGTTAGAAATTCTGTCAACGCTAAATAATGACATTGCTTTTAAGTATCGAACTGGGAAAGTGACTCAGTAAGAAGAATGTGTGGTGAAATAGACAAATGAAATAAATAAACAGTTAAATCGGTAATCTACTGTCATAACATATAAAGCTCGCGCCTGTGAAATATCAACAAAACATTAGAAAAATAGCTCACACCAAAGCCTTCACCGAGTATTCACTGGACAACCCGCTTCAAGCTGCTGCACGAACCTATTTCACTGCGCATGTACTATGAGCGCAGCCCAGCGCAGCACAGCCCAGCTGTTGAGACCACTTTTACCCCAAGCTCTGGGGGAAAATTAGTGAATCGTTTGAACTCCGATTTCGCGCAGGTTTTTTTATCGCGTTAATTTTCAACTTTATAAGTTTGAATTTGCATTTTTGATGATTTGTTTCGGTAAGTCCATACCGAAAGGTATTAGAATCTGCAAAGTTGTGTTTTATGTTGCATGTGACCTTTAAGTAGAGTCTAATAACTGATTTATTATGGCCTAACAGTTATACTACTTTCCTTACATCATTTAGTGTATGAAATAAGCCAAAAATCCAGCCAGACATCAGGGCTGGTAACTTCAAAATGTTACCAGCCCAAAATGGATTCAACCAGACCAAATATAGTGAATTTACTCAGATGTAAATTTTTTACCAGACCATCAAACTGGCTAGCTGTAAATTTATACTGCCGTCAGAAATCTAGACCGTCTCGGGCGGTCGGACGGGCATTATTTCATACACTGCATGATTGCTAAAGACTTCAGTACACGTAGCCCACTTCAAATGCCTCTGGTGAGCTACTGTGGTGCTGTATTGGTATTGTGTCGTACAATGCTGACATCTATGTTACTGTATCCCTCAGGGGCCAACATTGATGCTGAAGATGATGATGGCAACAATGCGTTGACAATTGCTGACAAGTTTGGACACAAGAGCTGTGAACGTCACTTGTTCTTGTTCCGATGGCAGCAACGAGCCAAGAAGCTGCGTCCATCAAGACAGGTCCCTCTCAAGCCACATCAGTATTATGATTCCAAGTTCCCAGTGTGGGTGGAGGTGAGCTGTCATTGCAGAGATGAGTGGTTGCCATGGATACTAAAAATACTAAAAATATTTGGGGGCGGTGGGGTAGTCTAGTGATTAAAGCATTCGCTCATCACGTCGAAGACCTGGGTTTGATTCCCCACATGGGTACAATGTGTGAAGGCCAGTTCTGGTGTCCTCCGCCGTGATATTGCTGGAATATTGCTGAAAGCAGCGTAAAACCATACTCACTCACTGAGTTTATTGTCCTAACTCAACACTTTGCAGTTATTCTCATCATCATCTTGATCATTTAACACATGACATATAATATAATGCATATGCAGAATGTCTAATATCCACCTCAAAGAAGCTCAGTGATGCTAAGAACAAATTATGTACAAAGCTCAGACATTGTCATATTACATCAGTTGACCAAAGCTTCGTGTGAGGCGTTAGTAGGTTAACAGTCATATGACCACCTTATCCCACTGGGTACCCATTCACTGCTGGGTGAACAGAGGCAATTTTGAACAAAACTCACTGGCCTAAGGTGAGATCACATATATCACATGTCGTTTGTTATGGGGCATGACTGACCTGATGGCCACAAGCTTGGTTGAATAAACAATTATACATTGATAAATGTGTTATTAGTTTATAATTTACTTCTTTAAAAAAAATATTAAAAAAAGAATTCCTACCTACCTACCCTAAATATTAAAGAGGTGTAATCGGAACCACAACATTTTTTTGTTTGGCCTCAAAGTTAAGAATTCTTAGGGCTACGAACGTTTCGAGAATAAGGGCCCTGGTCTCTAGGCAAAACACCACACTCCACCATATGCCTTGTTTACAATCAGGGTGCCTGTAGGCTCTTGATTGCCAACCAGAGTTATCTGCCCCTGATCCTTTATTTCCTTCCTCATGATTGTGCTAACATCAGAGACCTCTGCTAACATTTAGGAGTTGTGCTTTATCAACAGTATTTCAGATGTTTTAGGTAAACAAAACTTGACATGTGCCTCCCTTTACTGTTACTATATCATATTATGTATTTATATTTCATTTTTGCCATTTTTCTTTGTCTTTTCTTTCCATTTGTCGTTTTGTAACAGCTGCCATTTTAACAGTATCGTTTATTCCCAAAGTTAGTCCAGAATTCAAGTTGTCTTTGTTACTTTATGAGGTATTGATTTGTCTGACTACTTGAGATATGATTTAATGGCTGTTTACATCGACATGACAGGGAGGTCAGTGCCAGCTTTATCTCACAAACATCACCCCCCCTGAGGAGTTTGAGGGGACAGCTCTTAACTCCCCTGCCAAACGGCCCCATCCTGGAGTAGTCAGGCGGAACCAGTTCCACTTGGATGAGCCGGCAGACAGGCCTCATGTACGCATCAACGTCCATGACGAAGATCAGATAGAAGAGCATGCAGGTAATATTTGAAATCTTTTTTACGTTGCCGCGAATACAATTACAAGTAAATAATTGAGAAACTGAACATCAACATTTTTGGTTTGGTTGTTGTTTGACGACGCATATGGCGCCGGTCTGTAAATAATAAGTCTGGACCAGACAATCCAGTGATCAACAGAATGTGCATCAATCTACGCAATTGGGATATGATAACGTGTGCATGTTGTTTAATATAAGTGATTTCTTGATTGGCAAAGAAGTAGGTGGGTCTGGGTAATAACAAGTGATTTCTCATTGTATTCTACACGGCAGGAGAGATAAGAATGAAAGGCTGGCTATGTTGTGGAGAGGTGTTTCAAGGTCTTCGAACAGATGTGTTTGAAAGCACTGTTCCAAAATTTTGTTTAAAAAACATGTATCAAATGATAAATGTAACGTTAAGGTAACAAAATGTGAGGATGACAACATATATATTTACAGGGACCAGTTACAGCTTAGATTAAGTACTCAAAAATATGCTGCTCATATGAGACAACTAAATGTATTGGTCGGTCAGACTCAGGTTTTAGCACTGTTCCCCAAAGTTGCAGGATGTGGCTTATGGTATCAATCATAGGTTTGTCTGGTTCTTACGCTGGAATACTGCTGTGAGATACGCAAAATAGAATATACCGGTATGCAAGCCATGTAGCGGCATAACTTGTGACATTCTGAATTGGGCCCAGCGCAGAACTGACATTAGGCTATAAGCCACATTGTTCCTTGTTTTTATAGAAATTATCATTTACATGTCCCAACTTAAGCCATTATAATTGTTTGTTGTTTGTATTCCTAGATATTAACCACAAAGTATTCATGAATAAGTATTTGTGTTTGTGACTTCATATTCGTAAAACATTGTATTTGCCTCATAGTGTATTTGTTGCAGCACTACAACTCACATCAGTTCGAATCTTGTCAACAATAGTCCCTGTACTCGTAATGATGATCAATATATGTAGTCTTTGCAATTTATTCAATACAAATTTCCTTACTAAAAACTTACTCGTGAAGGTCCAGGTTAGAATATTGATCTTCAGTAACCCATGCTTGTCGTAAGAGGCGACTAATGGGATCGGGTGGTCAGGCTCGCTGACGTGGTTGACACATGTCATCGGTTCCCAATTGCGCAGATCGATGCTCATGCTGTTGATCACTGGATTGTCTGGTCCAGACTCGATTATTTACAGACCGCCGCCATATAGCTGGAATATTGCAGAGTGTGGCGTAAAACTAAACTCACGCACTCACTTACAATACAAAATGATGGCATCAAATAGGAGTTAACCTTTTAATAATTATGAATATATTTGAGAAAACATGGAAGTGAGTTCAGCAAGTTTCCTTCCCAGGAAAGAAGTTACCCTCCATTCAATCTGCAGATGCTGCTAGGAGACAGAAGCTTCAGAAAGCATATGCCTTCTACACGTAAGTCCTCAGTGTTTCGCATTTCAGCAGTAGGAATTCTTGTATAAAGAAGGGCCTGGTACTTGAAGTACTGAACTGCTTTTCTTGAAGCAACATCAACATTGTGACATGTCTTCTCATGGGTCTTGCACAAACTATTGTGATGGAATAAAGTTTTCATTCACACACACAATACAAGTTAAGTCTTTATTCATGGTCAACTTCTAAATTATTTTTGGAAAGCTGTTTTTATTAGTAATCCATCCATGAGTCAGTAATCTGAGCAAATGCCAAATGTACTTACGGTTTGACCTGTTGCTATCAGGGAACCGTCAGCCAACATTAAACATACACTTATGACAGTCTAGTGCATAGGTTGTTTTGTACAGCAACACCCAGGAATATGCAGAGTCATGTTTCTCCATTAGTGTATGTGGTACTATATCCTCTCCATTGCCAAGGTTCATGTTTTGGTGCTATAGGTACTAGGGCTGTAACGATGCATTGCAATTGTTGAGTCTCCGATAGCAATTAATCGATGGTAGAAACAAAAACTATTGATGCATTGATAGTATGTTATCCACCCCATGTTACCTTGAAACAAACTTCATCTGGGTTCAAGTTTCTTGTCGGTTATTAAAAGAGACTGAAACTACTTAAGGTTATTTTTATTTCATATAAACTATGCGTTCATTTGGGAAATGACTTCAAATTTTAGGGGAAAAAAACTATTGCAATAGTAAATTGGTCGCAAAAGACTATCTCTATCGCAATAGTATATTGCAATAGACTATCGCTATCGCCATAGTTGCTTCCCCCTCCATAGTCACCCCTAATAGGTACCCCTCAATCCATTCCTGTGGTTTGTAGGATCTCATAGTATCTAATGGATAAGATTTCCGTTTGTCAAGTTGATTTGCTGCACTACCCAATCATCCGAACCAATCACAATGCAAGTTACAAACAAGTCTCAATGTTGGATTTGGCCATGTCAACAACATGGCGACTAGTTCTATTGATTACAGTAGTGTTTCTGAGAAAATCAACATGAAAAAGCTGTCGGGATACAAAAAAGAAAGCCCACTAATATATTTTTTATCTAAAGGATGCATTTGTATTCAATACAACTGACAGCAGCAGGTCCCACCTTTTCAGAAATCTTAGCATTTGAATGATCATTACTGCAGTATACTGTTCATAAAAATTAATGATGGATAATTTGAGATCGCAAGAACCAAGGGAGAGAACTCTGGGTCATTCTAAGTTTGTGAGCCATGGAGATATGGAGGATGTACAACAATGTCATGTATTTGTAAATCAATAATAATTTGTTACCCTATTTCTTCTACAGTAAAAATAGAAGGTATGTATGAAGAATTTCAACTGTTCTTACCATGACTATTCTCTTCTTATTCCTTGTTCATCAGCTTTAACCTTTGTTTACTCTGGATCTGAAGCACAGCATGCTTGTCTTGACTGTTTTATATATTTCACCTTAATGTTTCATATTTTGCTTCATGTTGGACATAAATCACTAATCTGCCTGGATCTGGAAAGTGGCCATATCTTCATCAAATCAAATCAAATTTCTAACATAATTTTACAGTAGATATATTCAAGATAAATGTATTTGACACTTTAACTAACATCCCTATTTTCTGCCATTTTCCGTGACAGAGTTAACATTTCTTGAATCTTCCAAGGCTTGTTGAATAACAATATTGATACATTTACTGTTCCTGTTTCTGCAATGTTCATGACAATATATATTATAAAATACATTTCATTACCTGATTAGATAGAAGTATTCACCAGAACGTACACAACTGGCGCAGCTGTCTAAAATTCATGTCACATGAACTTCATTGTGAAGGATGGGGTCCTGGGCGTACCAGAAACCTCTAATCATGGGTTTAAATCCTAGTTCGCCATGAATTATGTTTCTGTTTTTGTAGGGCACCATGGCCATGCTTTTGGGTTTTGCCATCCTTTTTTCGATCAAGTCAATAATTATCCTTTAATTTCAAATTATGCTGTATATTAGATACGGATGCTTATTATTTGTACTGTACTGTTCTGCTAATATCTAAGAAAAATCTGATAAAAGTATGAACAATGTGTAAGGGAGCAAACTATGCTCACAACATTGATCACTGGCTTGTCTGGTCCAGACTTGATTATATACTGCTTCCAATGACAAATAGCATGAAAAATGTTGAGTGTATTAAATCCATAACACACATGCATGCAGTAAATACACAATAATAACGTTATTATGTACTATTTCTGAACACTAACAGCCCTTGCACACATTTTGTTTATGTCACAAGGGTATTGTAAGCTCATTCAACTGATAATCATTGCAGATGAATAATTATGAAATCTTAGCTATGTCGAAAACACCACAAGCCTTTTCCCACCTTTTCTTGCATTTGTTATTTTTGTTTCTAACCCTCCCTTAAATCCTTGTTGTAACCTACTTACTTGCAGTCTGTTGTTTTAAAAAACTAATCGTTTTACTCTTTTTAAGTTTGAACCAATACTAGTATCATTAAGATGAAAGTGATGATGGGGCACAAAGTAACCCTGGCACATCATTATGAGCAATATGGAAGATGCCAGCCATAACAGACTCATGCACTTCCAGCTTCTAAATACCGATCAAACATTAAGTGATGCATGATGTACAGGGTCACTTTGCACAGAGTAGTTGTAGCACTATTGTGATCGTAACTTCCATATTTAAAGAGGCTATGGGGTAGCCTAGTGGTTAAAGCGTTCGCACACCACACCGAAGACCATGGTTCGATTCCCCACATTGGGACAATGTGTGAAGCCGATTTCATCTGGTGTCCCCCCACCGTAATATTGCTGGAATATTGCTAAATGTGGCGTAAAAGCAAACTCACTCACTCACTCTATATTCAGACATAGACTTATGATCGTCATAGAGCTACAATAGCTTTGTGCGGCAGGGCCCAAACTAGGGCTGGCTAAGAATTACAGGAAATGTTGATTGGGAGAATTATTAATGATTACTGATATGAAAATCGTGTCATCCATACTATCTTGCACAAACAATTGTGATGAAATAAAGTTTCAATTTACACACACAATATACAAAGTTAAGTCTTTTTCATGGTTTATTCTAATTTATGTTAGGAAAGCTGTTTTTGTTAGTAATCCATGCATAAATGTGTCTCCATCTCTGTGCCCTGATAGCCAGACCTAGCTATGACACTATTGTATGTGGATGTATGTTGTACAGGGGGACATGGACTTGAGCATACAAGCCGCCCTCATTTGACCAGTGGCTCACTAAGATACAGGATAAAGAGAAAAAGCACACTGAGGCAAAGAGGAAGGCGAGAGAGGTGAAGAGGCAAGAGGAGGAAGAAAGGTGAGGAAATGGTCTTGTCTGTGACACTGTCATCAGTTATATCTATATACAGTAGTCATCTGTTGACACATTAGTCAGCATTACTTCAATTATATAAATTTGAACCTTATTCAAATGCTTTTGATATGCATTTGAACATTATTCATGGACTGGTCATTTATCATTGGTATGAGGGGTAAGGAGAAAGTGAAGAATGATACAGTCCTAAGACCAATCCCAGCCTCCTCTCTACACCCCCAGTATAATAACTGACCAAGGGCCAGATCCACAGAGGTAGCCTAGTGGGGTAGCACTACGACATTCGTAAACCTATGATAAACTATATAGTTAGGATAGGGCCTTAGGATCTGGACCCTGTCCTAAGATTATTCTATCTTGAAATGGACTGTACTCATGTTTGAATATGTTTAAGCAACGATTGTGATAGGCCACCCCAAACACCTGCCATTCACTGCACAATGCCACTGCTGCTGCTGCATGTTGTCCAGCTTCACACACGATGCACTCAATGCAGCACACAGCACACTAACCAGCACAGTTTGTTTCAGCGCACATTCCGACTCGGACAGTGAAAATAGCAGATGGTAACATGTGAAAAGCTTTGTGTGTGTACTAATTCCAAGGCCCCGATCCCCAAAGTGATTGTAGTGTGATGACTCTCTATGTTAAAGTATGGGAGTTACAATCACCTTCATGATATGATCACTTTGTGGATAGGGCCCTGGGCCCAGTTTCAGAAAGCTATCGTAGAACTACGACTGTCGTAAGTGTATGTTACAGTATAGGAGGTACGCAAGTCGTAGCGCTATGATAGCTTTGTGAAACGGGCCCCAAGCTTGTAACATTGACGATGAAGTACTGTGTAATAATTAAGTGAGAGCTTTGTATGAGTGGACTAATATCACCCTCCACTTTCTTTTCTCACAATGTCCGCATCAAGGGAGTTAACCTGGTGTCAGCAGTTCTTTACATCTATAGCCGTCAACAAAACTTGGATGTTTTTTTATCAGAAGTTGTTAAATATCTCCAGGGAAGGAAGTTTTTTCCCTTTTAACCCATATCCCACCAAGCTTTCTTCATATCCCTTATCGCCAAGTGGGCCTGTGAGGCCCGGTCACACTCTGTTGATTTACCTGACAGGATATTAGGTTCTTCTTCACTATTAGAACAGTCACTGCTGTCACTAACACTTTCTTTAAAGGGAGGTTCGAACTCAGAATCTGATCCACTGTCAGAAGGTACTGCATCAGCACCACTACCGTCATCATCTGCAGCAGCAGGTTGGAGCAAAACATCGCGAAAATTGCTTCTCAAACTTCCTTAAGTGGCATTTAGAAGCTGGTATGATGATTTTTATGGATAGACAGCTTCTTTAGGTGAGGTGAGGAGGGCCTTGACTTTGAATTTTGTCATGTAGATCTCGCTGATGATGGGGAGAGATGTGATCCCTTAGGTAGGCCATGGGATAAGAAAACTCTTAGAGGCAATCAACATCAAACGACTCAACCCAACAATCAACAGAGATCAACGTTATTACATCCCTACAGCTTACAATCAACTAATCCAGCCTAATCAAGAATAACCCACCCTTTGTCTATCTGGCTGCAATCATTTCTGTATCACAACTAGCCTCATTATGTCAACACACTGTACATCAACCTGTTCTATTGTATAAACTCAAATACCCGCCATGTATATATTTCTCCTTGTGCATATGTTGTGTATCATTTCCTTGATAACGGTGTTAGGATCTACACAGAAACGTCGCATCCACTGCAGTAAAGAAGTTGTCTATCCATAAAAAGTGTTCCTCTTCTCAAACTTGCTCGACGATTCATCTTTGACTGGCAGTTACTATGCAATGTATTCATAAGGAAGCTTTATCAAGTGGCGTTGACTGGAAGCTGAGGGGGGTGATCGGGGCTCAGAGGCCCGGCATAGCAGTTAATGCAATAATATTTGCTTTTTAAAATTAATGGTACTTATTTCAAAATAATTAAATTGAATTTTTTTCACAGCAATCAGTATTGCAATTGTCAGGAATACATTGAATACTGAACATTTATATAAAGAAATAAAGTTTTGGCACACCATCAAAGTGCACTTCGGGCCTCAAATGACCCACATGGTGGGATAAGGGTTAAGGCTGGGCGGAAACACATAAAGGCAACCATGGCAAGGTTGCTAGCGCCACGTGGCATTCGTGCAACAATTTTCAAACAAGATTCTTTTTAAAGCAGAGAAAAAGTCTCTCACATGTCCTTGTCCCAACAATGAGAAACATAAAAATGTTCTTGTGTCCTTGTTGTTGCTCTTTAATCCCTTCAGATACATCCTAAAATCAGACAGCGCTGAAATATTTTGAAAATTGTCTGAAAGTATAATGTTGCCATGCATCTGCCTCCTCATCTGGTTTCCAAGAATTATCTTCTTTAATCCATGTAATTGTCAGTGTGAACTTTGGATTTCCGATGTGTGTGGGGGAAGTGGGAACTGATACCATTACATCAACACCACTTTCGATCTTCCTTCCTATTTAGGCCAGACCAATTTTGGTTCTTGTTTAATGGATTTTTGTCCTCAGAAAACCTAGCGGCAGGAGGGGAAAAAAATAAAAATAAAATCACCAATCAAAGTAATATTCGTTCTAAATACTAAAAGTATTTTACTTTTGGCAATTTATGAAGTGTAAATGGGGCAAAAAACAATCTGAAAAACAATTTCTTGTAAGTTTACATTTTTGTCCAATAAAAACATTAGCATTTTATTTTTTGAGCATGGAAAATTAATTTTTATTTTTTTTCTTAATCTTGAAAAAATATGACAGGCGGATCCATAAAACAAGAAATAAAATTGGTCTGGCCTTAATGCTAATTATAAGTAGTGATGAATGTTAAAATATACCACCAGTCCCATGTTTGTCAGAAGATGTGACTTTCAATTTTTCATCCAGGAAGATAAGTATCACCTGTGACTAGACCTATTTGGCATATCCTCCGATTTGTCCTCGTCCATACCTCACAGACATCTATACTTTACACATGATCTTTTTGACCAATGAATAAAGCCACGAGCACTCAGATATACATTTATTATTAGCAATATTTCTCATACAACATGTGCAAAGTAACAACTTGTAGCATCCTATGCTCGTAAAGGGGGACAACTTAATGGAACATCTGGTTAGCCTTTGCTGCTTGTTGCTCATTATGTCAACCACTTGTTTGTCTGGTCAAGACTCTTATCTATAAGCCACCAGCACATGGCTAGAACAGTGAAGAGTTAAACAACAACAAATAAACAAACAAACAAACAAACGAAACAAAAGTATATTTCTATGTGTGATGAAGATGTATGATAATCTACTGACTTTAATGGTGTGCACCGACTCCACTAATATTAATCGGTCTTGGCGCAATGGTTTATTCTCCTATAAAGACCGTCACAGTGTTCTGACACAGAATATTTACTGGTATATTGTATAAGTTTACTTAATTGGGCGTCAGGTAAACAAAATAGACACAGATATATTTTACTCAAAACCCTGAAACCTTGTTAAATCAAAATTATCACTTTTTTCAAAATTTATGCGAGAATATGCTACATTTTTTTCTGTATATGTCTAGCTATATTTTATGTTTTTCATCAAAAGTATGAATTTCTAATGTCTTGTTTTTGTCAAATTGAAGTTTTGTTTTTGGCAATTTGCCTCAATGGTGCACTTCTGACATATAAAAAACTTTCCTTTTATTCAATGTCACCTGATATCTTGACCAAGGATATGGAAAAGAAATAAAATAAATCAAATTGATCAGGGTCCACATGCAAGGACGACAACTGTAGGCTGTTACATAGAATATGGAGAGGTCTTTCTTCACAATGTATAGAACTGACATAAGTGTTGTCGTTACTGATCATGTCTGGGTTGAAACGCTACACTTAAGACTGAGTAGTCACATGTGATGCGGGTGCTCACTCTATCAACCGCAGGGTTTCCGGCTCAAGTGCTTAATGCATTTTCCATGGCCACAGACATTGTTGCTATAAGTCTTAATACCCCACTCACTCACTCACTGTTATGCAGGAGGAAGATAGAGGAAGACAAGGCCACCAACTACGAGAACTGGCTGGCGCAGAAAGAAGCAGAGAGGAAGAAGGCTTCACCTTCACCCAAAGATGCCTCAAAGAGCACAAGTCCAGTTAAGAGGGGTACAAGCGGAAGCAGAAGAGCGCAGGTGCCTTGCGACTATATCTTCGATCTCTCGGGAACGACCGGGCAGGGCAGCCATACGAGAACTGGCTGGTTAAGAAGGAGCTGGAGCTCCTGGACAGGGCCAAATCAGGCGAACCTCTCTTCTCGTTTTAGACAAAGTGAAAGGCAGTCATGGTTCCGTGGTTTTGTAGGGTTTTGGTTGAGTCTTGGGATTATATTTGTAAAATCCTCTACAATTTTGAGAGCTCTGTAATGGGTTTCCAAAGGTCTTTGTCTTTCATTATTTCAATTTATAATATATGTTGTAAGGAATTAGGTGGACTGACAAGTTTGATATGATTTTTGCTGAATTGAAACAGATGTAGAAGATCCTCATCTCTGGTCTAAAACTCTAGTCATTTCCTGGTATTTTTTACATACCAAAAAATGAATGTTTTTTATTGTTTGGTGATTCAATACTTTTGTTTAAAAACAGTTTTATTAAGTACCACAGCAGATATACCAAATAGAAGGGTAGGAAAGTGTCAAGGTTCAACAGATGAGTCCAGCTATATACTTTGTGCTAGACAGGTTTCATGTCTTCATATTCAGGTTAACTCCTAGTTGATAGATGTACATTTTGTTAAAGAAGAATTAAAAATAACAATGCTCTTCAGGACCACTGTACATTATGTACTGTATTGCCATGAGAAAATAAATACTGACAAATACTTTCACAAATACTGACATACATGCCAAAACCGCCTGATATGTTTAAATGTGGTCTGATGAAAATGTCCTACATATAGTACATGCCTACTGGACAATTAGATTCATGTTATGGTTATAATCATGTTGCGGCCACTGTTTAATATTTACTGGAATCAGTGGGTCTATTTATATTTAGATAGATTATTTTCTTTATTCACCACTTACATACAATACCATTCTTTGTCTGCAGTCAGAGCCAAACATTATCTTTAATCTCGACACCCAGAGAGTGATTGTGATGCATTTAACATTATGGTACAGACCACATTTACCTTGAGAATAGCCAGGCCTTAAGTAAGATTGTGATACATGGTAAGGGCCAGTGATTGATAGAAAACTGTGTTAAGGATGGTTAGTGACCATGAATATCTTTCACTTTGCTTTGAATGCATGCAGGGAGGTCGCTGGTAGAAGTCTTGTATACATGTATATATCTTCTCAACGTTTGTATAGCTGAATATTGTATTTATAGAATGCTGAATATTGTATCTATAGAATGCTGAATATTGTATTTATAGAATGCTGAATATTGGATCTATAGAATGCTGAATATTGTATTTATAGATTTGTAAGACAGTCACATTTGTTGGTCCTTTTTGCCAAATGTATCAACCTTTTGACCAGTATTCAAAGGACAATTTTTTAATGGTTATTGTCTATACAGTATTCATCATAAATATGTATTTGCATTTACTTTCCTATCCATATTGACAGAATCGTAATATTTAGAGAATCATAGCTTCATCATTTTTCAGATGTATTGACTTTACAGTGTATAAATTCTGTGTGATCCGACAGGCACTGGAGCTTGTACAGTGGGACATTTTTGTAGTGGATTGAGTATCAATACTGGCAGTATTTGACTAGGGCTGTAAGGGTACAAGGATGTAATTTAATTTCATGCACGATGATACTTGAAACTGAAGGTGTGCATGAGTACAATACATCTAATGATATTTGTCAACGACCAGATATATTTATCGCTAAAGTATCACGATGACTTAATCTGATACTTCTGAAGGTGTAAGTACAATACTGCCCTGCCTGGCTCTTGTTGGTCAACAGCAATGGAGAATGTGAGCCTGTGGATTCCTGTGATGTTTGTTTTAGACAATATTTTTTCACTCAACACTTCTCTGAAAGGAGATTCAAACAACTGTTTATCAGCCGCAGTTAATTTTCAAAAACATCATCAGGTCCAGGGAGCGAGTTATGTTCTTGGCTAAGTCAGACATTGTGTTTTGTCACATCAGCTTGGGAAACATGTTAATAATTCACTGTTAATATGTCACTGATCCTACCCTGCAACCCAATCTTTACCACACTCCCCAATATTTTATCACATACTATCACACATATATTTTGGGTTGTTGTGTTCGTGTGTATTGCAATAGTATGGCATAGTTTTTTAACAATTGTAATATTTCAAAATGAAACAGGGCTTTGACCAACCCCTTTAATCATGACATGGTGTATCTTACAGCCATTTATTCACCTAACCAAAGCATTCTGTGATAAAATAAAGTTGAGTTTGTATTACTGTATCATTTGTTATGTTTGAACTGCTTGTTTGTATCCGGTCTGTATCCTGTTTGTACCTTCTCCGTCCATGTTCTGATTGGAATGTAATAAAATACAAAGTGTAAAGAGAAACCAGGAAGTTTTTATTTTTAAGAAAATGGAGAGGGAAGTATTTTTCATTTCAGATGACTGACTAACTGAGTTTGGTTTTACCCGCTGCAATATTCCAGGAACATCACAGCTGGGGACACCAGAAATGGGCTTCACACATTGTATCCATGTGGGGATTCGAACTGGGTCTTCGTGTGTGACGAATTTCAACGCTTTAACCACTAGGCTACCCCACACCCCTTATATTTCACTTTCAAAGTTTCAATGAAATGAAAATGTATGTGAAATAAAAGTATATACTCAATATTAAAATATAAAATGATTTTGATGCAAGATTGAAAGAGATTTATAGACATGACCATTAGTTAAGCAACAGCTGAATCCAATGGGTCATTTTTAACATTTTGGTCCAAACAGCCTGCGATATACTAAGCATACATACACAAATGCACGTATAGCACTAATCCCTACCTGTGAAGAGTTAGTCTTCTTCAGCAACCCGTACTTGTTGTAAGAGAGGAGTAACGGATGTTCATGTTCGCTGACCTTGTTGACATGTCGTATCCCAACTGCTTATGTCGTATCCCAACTGCTTATGTCGTATCCCGACTGCTTATGCCGTATCCCAACTGCTTATGTCTATCCCAACTGCTTATGTCGTCTCCCAACTGCTTATGCCGTATCCCAACTGCTTATGTCGTCTCCCAACTGCTTATGCCGTATCCCAACTGCTTATGCCGTATCCCAACTGCTTATGTCGTATCCCAACTGCTTATGTCGTATCCCAACTGCTTAGATTGATGCTCATGCTGTTGATCACTGAGCTACAATGGAGTGGGAGCACCATCAGAAGGAGGCTGCGGGCGGCTGGTCAGAGGGACGTCGTCCGATCAATTATCCGATTTTTTACATTTAAAACATACACCTAAATAACGCGCTGTGAATGGCGTAACATGTCATTAATGGGCCACATTTACGATTTAGCCAATTTTGAAAGATCATTTTTAGCACTTTTGCCTTGGCAAATTGCCTAACTCAATTATGATAGTGGGTGGGATAAAAAGCAGGAACTTTCCCACAGAATTCGGGGAATTGTGAAGTGTATTTGTGTGTGTGGTATATATTGAATTTTATTGGACTTTCAAGTGAGTGTTGAAGAGGACATTTACATCAATCGTCTTCGGTCAAAATGAAAACTACACATATCTATTTTACATATTTACAACAGTGTATGAAATAAGGCCCGCCAGCCCGCCCAAGACGGTCTAGATTTCAGGAGTTTTCCGGGAGGTTCTGGGTCCGTTACTCTTTGTGACATATACGAATCAACTTGGTGGGATCATAAAACGGCATGATCTCGGTCACCAATCATATGTTGATGATACTCAAGTCCTGGATAGTTTTGAAGTTTCACAAGTTGCTGAATCCCTTCAGAAAACAAGTGTATGTGCATCAGAGATAAAATCTTGGAATCTTGAACTGACAAGAACTTAAAATTTGTGATTGGCTGCAGTGTCGATTTTGACTCCGAGTTGTCCATGGATTATCAAGTTGACAATTTGTGCAAGACCTGTTTTCATCATCTCAGATGTATCAGTCAAATTCGTCATCTGATATCACTCTTGATGCAGCCAAGACATTAGTACAGTGTTTGGTACTCTCGAGGTTGGACTATGCGAACAGTTTGCTTCTAGGCATCAGTAATGAATCTCTGAGGAGACTTCAAAAATTCCAAAATGTAACGGCAAGAATCGTTACACGTGCCCCAAAGTACTCTCACATTACGTCGATACAGAAGTCCTACATTACACTGGCTTCCGGTTGAGGCGAGGATAGTGTTTAAAAGTACGCTGTATCACATTCAAGAGTCTAAATGGCATGTCACCAGAATATCTAAGTTGAACTGCTAACCCCCTACAAACCATCCAGACAACTGCGATCTGAAAGCCGATTCTGTTTGAAAACTCCTTCTTATAGACTGGCCTCTTATGGAAAGCGTTCTTTCAGTGTTGGGGCAGGTGGGGTAGCCTAGTGGTTAAAGCGTTGGCTCCTCACGCCGAAGACCAGGGTCGATTCCCCACATGGGCACAATGTGTTAAAGCCCATTTCTGGTGTCCCCGCCGTGATATTGCTGGAATATTGCTAAAAGCGGCGTAAAACTAAACTCAGTCAGTCAGTCAGTCTTTCAGTATTTGTGCTCCATCGCTGTGGAATGAACTGCCCCTCGCCTTAAAACTGTCCCTATCTTTGCTTTGCGTTCAAATCACATCTTAAAACGCATCTCTTTTCATTGCACTATTAACTCTATTCAAACATTATTATTATTATTTTGTAGCGCTTTGAGCACCCACTTAGTGGTTGGATTTAGCGCTATATAAATTTCCATTATTATTATTATTATATTATATTATTAATATGTTGCCACGTATGCCGTAGTGGGGTGTAGCTTAAGAAGTAGGCGTTGATGCGGAACTTTATGGAAGGCTTTTGAGAGTCAAGCAGTATCATGTCCAGCTGCTTCCCATGGTCTACACTCTGAACGAACTGATTGATGGTCTGGACCAACTGGGTTTCACAAGAGCGACGGCTCCTAAAACCATGATGTGTATCAGATAAAATATCATGAGAGTCTAGGTGGGATATTATAGAGCTATACAGGACGTCTTCTGCAAGCTTGGAGCATATGGCATATAGAGTAGGTGCTACTCGTTTTCTACATATGTCCATAAATACATACTTTACAAATTCTTACCTGCCTTTTTTCTTGTAATTTTATTTTCTATATTTACTTTATAGAACTACATCGGAACTGAGTTATTAGGCAATATAGTTTGGCCCTTCTTGGCCCGGTCCGTAGAATCCTTCCCTTAATATCTATCGTTGGAAGTGTGGAAGGTCGCGGGTTCGATCCCCGACCGCGTCATACTCAAAAGACGTTAAAATATGGTACTTGTTGGTCCCTGCCTGGCGCTCTGCATTAATGGGTACAACAAGGACTGGTCGGCTCGGAGTCGGTATAATGTGTCTGAGTGGGGTATTCATGCTTCACTGCGGCATGTAGTATCTCAGTGGGCTAGCACTATAAAGCCAGCTTCAGTCTGGGCTGAGTACACGCAGCCGCAGATACACATACACACGCATACACGTCGTCATATGAGCGAAGTATTCTCAAAGCTCGACGTTAAACCTAATTTCACCTCACCTCATCTATCGTGGAGATGACGGGCAAATTGTTCACTAAACATTTGAGGCCTCTCAATTTATCAAAGTATTCGATTATTTCTCCTGTTTGTTTATTTTGTTGTGCAAAGATACGAATTATCTCTTGATAGTCGCAAACTCTCAAAATTGATTCCCCAGAGAGATTTGAGACTCAGCGTACGCGTATGGAAG